ATTCACCAAAAAAAGACACACAGTTTTCCAGCTGAGATGACATTCAAACCTGTAGTATTAAATATTATATTCTTTGTGATAGACTAGAATCTAAATGAAAAATAAACTGTACATGTACATGTATTCATACAACAAGCACCAGCCTGAGCCAATCTATGTTTTACGTGCTGTTTCAGATTATTACTGCATATACATGTACATGTAATCGGCTCTATTCCTACGGCATTCACTTCTAAGAACATAGCTTTATTCCTCTGGTTGGAACAACATTTGGCTCTGTGAGTCATTAAACAATGGACTAAATGAGAACGCACACAATGTTACCTCACCGCCCCTCTCGAGCAGCGAGGCCATAGTTTGCTTTCTATAAATGTGTGGCATCGTGGTGAAATAAGGCGCTCGTCAAAAAATCAATTAGTTCTAAATAAAATGTATTTATTTGTTTTAAATGACTTCCAAGAAAACGACATTTTTCTGCCCGTTGGACTATTCTTATCTTTTAAAAAATGATTATGATTCGTTTAGCTATTTTGGCTCTATACCTTTAACTTTAATGACCATATAAACACACATTTCTGTGTGGATTAAAAAAAACAACAAGGTTGGTGAATTAATTGCAGTTTCCAAGGACATTCAAGCCTTGGAAGTCAACATGGCAAGCTTTGGCGGCCATTTTCTCGTTAATTTTAGGTTTGACACCAGGCGACCCTCACCTCCTTCAATCGCAAATATTATTCCGGCTTCTATTAACAAGATAGATAACTACATGCATTAAAAGAAAAGAAAGCAGTTCAAATGAGCCAGATTTAAGAATTTACCAATAACTCTATAGACTTACGTCCAGAAATTTACTAGCGCCTGATTCCACCGTGTCATGAAACAAATTATTCGTTTGAGTTCAAGGCCTTGAACTGGTCCTGGAGTCGACACCTCCTTCCAGCTGAAGTAACCTGAAGTCTCGTCGTAGACCAAAGGATAATGCCAGGGAAAGAATTTCCACAGACAATGTCGTGGCAGAACTCGTAATTCATCATTGTTGTATGTCAAAATATAAGGTTTTCAGGAGAAGTACATTTAAACCATTGTCTTGTTTTGGCCTGGGCATTATGTTAATACAAAATTAATGTTTAATTCGTCAAAATTTGTTACTATTTTAAATAGATGATGAATAATGAGACTTCGGACAGTCGATGCGCCTCATCAATTTCTGCATCACACTTGATTTTTATTCACTTGTATTTTAAAATATTTTCTCTCGAAATGTTGACATTTGTTGAATGGCGGCAAGGACATGTGTATTGATTATAATTGATCTTCCTAATCCGTTGATCTAGGCTGTGGTTTCTGTTTCAATCGTGTTTTCATCTTGATTGAGGAAGCAGCGATCATGTGGTGGGTGTTGCAAGCTGCTGTGTTTCTCCACGTTCTTCAAGGTAGGACAAGAAAGTGTTTAAAAAAAAGTTTTTTTGTGTTTGGTTTTGTTTTATATAGCTGCTCGAAACTTAACACAAAAATACCATC